ATGTTGATTCCCAAAAGGTTTCATATTTTAAAGCATTTCCAATTTTGGATTTTCAAATTAGAGATGTTTAACCTGTAGGAGAAAAATGACCCTGCATATACATAGTGTCCAATGCTCAGTTCCTCTTTCTAGACATGTAATACTCTATAAATGTACTTTAGCAAAGCTAAAAAAAATGTTTACATTGACTATTAAGCAGCTTTCCTTTATGACAAACCAATCTGAAGAAATGTAGTAACTTAACAAAGCTATTGCTTTATTATTATTATGTGTGTATGAGTATATTGCCTACTTGTATAATTGCACCTGTGTCATGCAAAACCCAACGAGGTCAGACGAGGGTATTGGATTCCCCTGGAACTGGAGTTACAGATGGTTGTTAGTCACCATGTTGGTTCTGGGAATCAAACCTGGGTCTTCTGCAAGAGCAGCCAGTACTCTTAACCACTGAGCTATCTCTCCAGCCCCTAAAGCTATTGCTTTAATGAAGATTTCTGCTAGCTGCAACACCCACCTGAAATGAATGAGTCATTCCAAATGAAGTATCTATAAACACTTCCAATTTGCTTTGAAGATCTCACTTCAGACATGAAAAAAAATTCCTAAGAGCTTTGAATTTCACAATTTCAAATGGCATACCAAAAATCCACAGGAAGACGGCACATGCCTGACAGCAGCGACAAGAATATTGCTCATTCCTTTCATTGGTAAATTATGTCAAGATATTTCTGGGGGAAAAGTAGCTTACCTTTAAATTTTTTAAATTTCAGATATGGAAAGTTAAAGATTTGCCACCAAGTTCCTCTAAATAGAAAGCTTTTGCAATGCTTTAAATAAACTACATAAAAGGATATAATACTATTCATGGGAAATGTCTGACACAGGGAAACCTACAGAGATATAAAGTAGACTAGTCGTTACTGAGGTGTGGATGGGGAAGAGGACAAGACAGAGAGGAGAAAGAAGGATGAGATATAATCGGATAAGGCTTCTTCTGGAAGTCATGGAAATGTTCTAAACTTTACAGTTGTGACAGCTGCATGATTCCATGAATAAGCTTAAAACCACTGAACTGTAATTTTAGGTGTCTCAATTAAAAGAAGACAAGACTGTACATGAGAAAAAAGAGATGTAGTTAGGTGGACAGCCTGCCATATGTATAAGAACACTGAAGCATCCCATTGGTTACTCTTCATTTCTAAACAATGAAGAACATTATCATCCTCTTAAGGCTGGAGAGAACCAATGCTTACAAGAACAAAAGGCTGCTTCAAAACTCACCACCATAACAATATTGCACATTAGTTGGTTTATTGATGGAAATCTTCAATAAGCACAGTGCAGGCATCAGATCAGACACTGGCATTAATTTCAGGGTCAAATACAAGACCAAGGTTTGGAGAGACTTGCATAGACAAGCACTCTCAGAACTTCAAGTGATTGCCCAGAGTTTAGAATTCCCATATAGAGCATTCAGAAGTATCTTTACTCTCTTTCCTGGCCATTCTTTAGGGCAGGCATCTTCTTTGAGACCCACAAGTTCCTGTCCTAAAGTATAGCACATGACCCTCACACACCTCCCCAGGTGCCCAACAATCACTTTCCTCACTATCAAATTCCCAGGCCCTATCCTTGTCCTGAAGTCAAATGTCAAGTGTCTGCAAAGACAAGCACAGCAAGAGATCTTGGGGTGGTATAAGTGGGAAAACTGTTCTGGAGTGGGCACGTCTCCAAAGGATGCCCCAATTCAGTAGACTGTCATGGCCTTCACTGTCCCGAGATCCCTTTTCTCCAAAATGTTAATTTGAAAACAAAAGAGCTAGGAGTATAGCTCAGTGACAAAGCATGTACTTAGGTATAGTATATAAGACCCTAGGTTCCATTCCCAGCACTGTTAAAAAAAATGAGAAAAACAAACTGAGAAAGATATTCCATGTTCTTGCCTGTGAGGAAATGCCATTAACCTCTACATCTGAAAAATTATACTGAGAAAAAGAAGTGCTTTTATCAATTTTCTTTATGAAAACATTTGCTTGAATAGCTTTATCAACTTTTAGCAAGCATACATGGCCAAAATAAAAAGCCTTAGTTTTTTTCTTTTTTAAATCAATGTTTTATAAAACTTGACTTCAGCATTACTAAAGTGTTCAAATTCCATGGCTCAATGTTTTGTAAAATCCCTAAACTCTAATGCTAGGAAACTTTGTAATCAATTTCTTTTTTTAATTGTATTTATTATTTTTATTTTATGTGTATGCATGTATTGCCTGCATGTAGGTAAGTGCACCCGTGTCGTGCAATGCCCGCAGAGGACAGAAGAGGCTGCTGGATCCCTGGAACTGGAGTTATGGACAGTTGTTAGCTGCCATGCGGGTGCTGGGATTCGAACCCAGGTCTTCTGCAAGAACAGCTAGTGTTCTCAACCACTGACTCATCTCTCCAGCCCCTGTAATTAATTTCTAATGAACTACCAGTCACTTATAACCACTAGTGATTCCTATTTAACACACAATGGAAGTGTGCAACTATGCAAGGCTGTTTTATAGAACTTCAAGGGCCACAATGCAATTTCTTAGCCTGGATCCAGTGCATTCAGAAACATGCTCACAGGATAAGTCACAAATTAAGAAATTTCAATTTTAATATTTAATATGAAATATTTAAATTAATCCAACTGTAGAGTTATACAAGAATTTAAACAGTTGGTATATGCCTGCTTTATTCCTAGCCAACTCATTGTACATACCCATATTTATTTCAAACTCATCCCACACAAAAGAAATACAAATGAAACCGTACAACAAGTTGCCACTTGGAATCCTGGTAAGACTAAAACCAGCCCTGACTACAGACAGGTATTATGGCCCCACTGCTCTTAAATCTTTACCTCTCCATGGAAACTAGGGATTTGGACCAAAACAAGTAAGATCCCAATTTTATTGTCATAAGCCTTCACAAATAGATGCCAAAATTGATGGAGTTAATAGGAACTAAGCAAAAATGTCTTTTGAAAAGCATTAAGGTTTTTAAAAAGTGATGTGCCAAATGTGTCCTTATACAAAATTTACCTTTCTAAAAATAACCTTTGTCTTTTTGGAATGAATTCAACAGAAGTGTGAGAAGGCATGGAGAATTGAAGCTATGTTGCCAATGCTGGACTCCAAATGGTTTTATGTATATTCAGAGTTGCACAATCATCACCCCAAGCTCCACAGTCACTCTCCATCTCCTATAATCTCATCTTCCTTCTCCAGCCCCAGGAACCATCAATATATTGCTATAGATTTCCCTCTTTTACATATTTTACATAAATAGATTCTCACAAGATGAGGCCTTTTATAGCTTCTTTCAGTTAGCACACTTTCAAGGTCCATCCATGTTGCAACGTGCATGTCATTTTCTTCTAGAGTCAAATAATATTTCATTGTATGGCTCATCCATATTTCATTTATTCATCTGAATGATTATCTGGAGTGTGTCCAGTTTGGGACCATGATAAGTAATATTGCTATGAACATTTGTGTACATGTTTTTGTGTGGACCTCTACTGTCATGTGTGTTAGTTATATTTGCCTAGGTTTGGAATTGCCAGGTCTCATAGTAACATTATACCTATCCTTTTGAAGAACCACTGAGTAGCTTTCCAAAGCAGCAGCACCATTTTTACTTCTCATAGACAATGTATGAGGGTTCTAATTTCTCTACACCCTTTCCAACACTTGCTATCTGTCCTTTTATGACAACCAGCCTATTATGTAAAGTAGTAGTACACTGTGTTTAAATGTCCTACAACTCAAAGCAAGCCTACTCATTCTAGAATAAGGACTCAGATGCCCTAAACTACACTTTTCACATGTAAAATGTGTTCAGAGGTCATTCTGCAAGCACAAAATAAAGCCAGCACCATCTAATACTTCATTAGTAAATACAAATGAAATATGCATCTTTATTCTTCATTAATCAAGCTACAAAAATGTCTAACCACCAGATTGAAGTGCATGAAGACGTCAGGGTAAGCAGCCACAGCATCAATGGAGTAGTGAACACTTAGAGTTTTAGCCAAAACTTTCAAAAAAGAAGCATTAGGTCGTAATTCAGTTCATCAATAATCTGTGTGGACCTTGATCAGTCGCTGAACTTCCCTAACCTGACCATGGTGCTCCGAGCAGCTCACAGAACTATATCCCCATAAGTCACTCCCAGACATGAACCTAAGACTGAAAGTTTAATGAGATTTCAGAATGTGCTAACACCATGCTAAGAAACAAGCGTTGCACAGGAGCATGAGTTTGCATGAGTTGAGTGGGTTCAATTTCTAGCTTTGCTATTTAGTAGCTATTAATATATGCGCATAGTATAGTATTTTTACGATTTTAAACTCCAGTTTCCTGATCTGAAGATAATGCCTGCTTCATGAGATGATGGAAATGCACTGAGCTAAAATAGCTAAGGCATTTAACACAGTGGCCAGCAGAAAGCAGACCCTTAAATGCTACCTTCCATTCATCTTTCTGCTGACTCTGGGCAAAGTTTCCCAGCAAATAAGACCTCTTAGCAAATGTGATGGGTCACTAGGAAGTGTTGTGAGTCCCTGTGGCCTGCCGGACTCCCTTAGAAAGCACTTCATAGATGCTCTGCAAACTGCTAAGAAGCATCAGCGAGATTAGGAGATTATGGGGGATTCTTGGAAGGCAGTCCTGGGATGAGAAGACACCTCACTTTTGTCTGTGGCATTAGGATGACTTCCTCAGGGCCCCCTGACCTAGGCACAGCCCCGCAAACGGGAGGAAGACAGAGGCTGTATTCAAATAACCCCACTGGGGGCCGGGTGTGGACCTCGGGGCTCAGGGTGGGTGCAGGGGCCTGAGATACAAGGCACTGGAGAAAGCAAGTGGGTTGAGGGCCAGCTAGGTAGTAGAAAAGCCACCCCCGAGGAGGCGACTTCCTTTCCAGGGGGAACTCCACTGCTTTGGGTTTCAACAAGCTGCCGGTTCTCCTACCTGATCTGGTTGTCGCGGAATTTGTTGAGATGCGGTTGGTTGAGGTAAATGATGCGGGCCGGTGCCTCTAGCTGGTCTCCAACAGACGTAGCCCGGGACATCTCATCCTCTGCCTTCTTGTAGCCCGCAGAAGAACGAACGGGTCCTGGAGACGAGGCGAGGCGCCGGGCAGAAAACAAAACACAAAGAAGTCAGCCGCCAGGCCTGAGGCCGGGAGCGCAGGCTGCCAGCCAGGACCAGAGGAGAAGGATGCTCTGGCGAGGCTGGGGCCGCCTAAGTACCTTGTCTGCCCCTGGAGACTCCGCAGCTGCCACCGCCACCACCGCGGCGGCAGGCCCCGCCCCACCCCGCCCCGCCCAGGACCTGCGAGAGGCCCCACCCCACCCGGGATCCGTGAAGAGACCCCGCCCCCACCTCGACCTGTGGAGAAGCCCTGCCCCAGGTCTGAGGCCCCGCCCGGCCCGGGGCTGTGGATAGGCCCTGCCCCACATTGGACCTGAGAGAGGCCCCGCCCCCTCTCCCCAGGGCCAACACCCCCTCTTCCCCACCCCGCACCCCCTGCGGAATCCCCAGAGCTTCCCCAGCCGCCTGGGGCGCGCTCTAGGTTGGACGAGCGCGCAGGTAGCCTGCGGCGCCCACATTAGCCAGGGGCGTGACGGCTGCGCTTTAGAGAGAGAGAGGTCAAGGGGACTGGGAGTCAGGTGGCACAAGCCAGAAGACACCATCTAGCCAAGGGCCACCGCTAGTCCCACGGATTGTACTCAGTAGCTGGGTTTTCTGGGCTGCTTACAAAGTGCTTAGACACAAAGAGACAAACAGCCCTGGAGAGATGCCCTGCGTGCAGTCCCTGCGGAAGCAGGAGAGGAAAGCACCTCTACGCTCCGGAATGAATCCTGTGCCTTGTGGCGGGTTTGCTCCCGCTGTGGGCATGCGGGACCATGCTGCTGGTCTCCACGCACATGCCCTGATCACCCAGTACCGCAACTCCACCATCCCCAGCTCTGGACCACTATGTGTGTTCTTTCCCTGCTCAAGTATTCTGTGGCTCCCAGACCAGCTTCCCCGGGCTCCCATCTCTCTGAAATTTGATAGCAAGTCCCATAGTAAAGTTTCTGGGTGAGCTAAGCTCCCCAGCACTCTTCTTGAGGTGGAGGATGCAAAAGATGTGCCCATTACCAAAGCTGCTACAAACAAAAGGTGATCACAAAATCACAACAACTTCTCCAGCTCCCAGGCAGCATTCCCTAGGTAAGAGGCCGCCAACCTTGAGAGGTGTCCTTTAGGAAGAAGCCCCTGAGATAAAGGATCGAGGGAAAATAAAAGTTCTACAGATGGAACCTTATTTTGTTTTCCTTAAATATGCATTCAACTAATACTTTTTCTTTTCTACCTATCAAATAAGTACATATCGCACATCATTTAAAACCTTGCACCCTATTGGAGTAAATGTCTACATGCCAGCTACAGAGAACACAGTTCGTTGACATGGAGAAAATTTGAAAAAAAAAAAAAAAAAGGTTTTGGTTAAATCATCTTGCTAACTTGGCTATAAAGATTACAATCCTTAACATAAACGGAGGGAAACTGAAAGGCAAAAGTGGGCAGGCATTGTGAGCTGACATACTCCCCAGAACAGTAAGGAAGGGTTAAGCCTGAAGTGGACTAAGGCCTCTCCCTTCTCCCAAGGCCAGGGCACCTGTTAGGTGCAGGTTTAGGTGCTCACAGCTGGGTGGTGATCACAAGCCAGGTAAACTCCAATTCTCCTCACCCCCTTCCTGTGTGGATCTACCACACTCAGGCTGTTTCTCAGTGTGGGACAAATCCCTCATCTCCTTCCCTTTTGCATCTTACATTCTAGGGGCCCATTCTGGCCAGTGAACATTGGCCAGCCCTCTTATTATAGAGAAGGGGCAGCAGGAAACAATGATGGCTACTTTCATACTGGCTACCTCACTAGCTCTGGCTCCTAGAATTCAGTCAGGGAAGAGTTTTGGTTTTAGTTTTGTTGTGTGTGTGTTTTCTTCTTTTTTTGCAAGCTGGGAATGGGACCCAAGGCCTTCCACATGGTAAGTGTGGATGGTGCTCTGCCACTGAGCCATATCCCCATCCCAGGCTGATTTCAGAAATGAAGAATATTTCTGAAATTAGTCTATATTAAGTACAATTTTTCTCTCTGCCACTTACCTTATTTTGTTTTCCACCACAGCATTTATTGCCATTACCTGACATTATTTATTTATGGTCTCTCTTCCCATACTCAACAACCTAAGTTCCAGGACATTGGGGGTGTGCTTTGTCCATTACAGTGACCTGAAGACCCCCCTAAAGTCCCACAGCCTGCCACATGGTGGGCACTCGAATTTGTTGGTTGAGTAAATCATTTTTACACAAGTCATACAAAAGGTGCCCTTGAATTCCCCAAGCAGAGCTGCAGTGACAGGCACAGAGGACTGAGGACTTGGATCAAATAGTTCCTTGCCAGGACTGCACTTAGTCAATGGCTCTCCACTTCTCTAGGCATCACGTGTGTGAATCCTTATCACTAAGGGAACTCCCACCATTTTCTACTTTCTAGACCACACACTCCCCAATTTGGCACTACAGTGCTTTGTTCCTGGGTTTTAAGCTCCATAAGTAACACTAACAGGCAGCAACACCTGAGAATTTGATGCCGCTCAGATAACAAAACAAAAGGTCTACCTCTTGTCCTCAAAAATGTCAAGTAGTTTAAAACTCAAAGTTATAATTCGCACCATCACAGCTGCCTAACAGTGTGTGACAATTTATGACCAAGTAACTAGTAGTGGGCTTGATGGTACTAAGGAAGGTGAAGACATCCAGCAATTACTTCATGCTTCAGGTAGAGAAGTGGTTGGAACAGATATAAGAGCCTTATGTGGGAGGACGGCTAGAGAGATGGCTCAGCAGCAAAGACCACTGTCTGCTCTTCTAAGAGGACCCAGGTTTGGTTCCCAGCACTCACTGGCATCTCATAACTGTCCATAACTCCAGTTCCAGGGGGATCTGATGCCCTCTTCTGGCCTCTGAGGGTATTGCATGAGATGGGTATACTTACATACATGCAGGCAAAACATGCACATAAAATAGAAGTAAATAAATAACTTTTAAGAAAAGAACCTTACAGGGTGGATACAGTTTCTCTCAGGAAAGGGGAGGGCATTGTGGGTGAGGACAAGGAAAGCTCAATCAAATTCTGTTCAGTAGAAAAAAAAATTGTTTCTAAAAAAATGAATCTGTATTGAGGGTTCACATTGAGAAAGCACAGAATAGAAGCTCAAGGAAACATAGCCTGTGGACAGACTGATGGCAGATGCTAAGTAAAGAAGGCAGAACTTTGTCTTAAATATCATGTAAAGCCATCAAGGTGCCTAAGAAAAAGAGACAAGCATTCTGCAGTGATGGACAGGTAGCAGGAAATAGAAAAGGACTGTAGATACAGAGAACAGGAAGGCAATCAGTTGCACAGTCTGAAAGCAAGATGGTAAAAACATGGATTAAGTGGAAAAATAGAAGAAAACATAGACATGAAAAATATCTCAGAAGAAAACTCTATAAGAATGTGTTTTGGAAGAGGAATCCTGTGTCAGCCATAAAAGGGGAGCAAATTAGACAAGTGAGGTTTAAACCAGACTGGGACAAAAATCATCACAGAAATGAGAATGGAAGCAATAATTTTTCAAACAAACATTTACATTTTGATAACTAATATTAACGTAAAAAGATTGTTGACACAAATAAATGTTGAGTGCAGGTTGACATCATATCCCCAAGTACCTAGCATGTATGAATTCTTGCCTTCCTATACTCAACAAAGCCACACTTGGAAATTTTACTCCAGGGAGAAACAGTTTTAAAATTCTCTCAATGTCACAATTCAGATAACTTTCTTCTGACTCTGTGGCCTTATCTTGACCTTGCACTGGAGAAAATACTTTCAAAATAACAGAAATATGTATTGCCTAAGGAAAATTTTGTGCCATATATAACAAAAGCACATTATGGTGAAGGTTTCAAATTTGGACTCCTGAGACAAATCCTGAGTTACTGCATTGTGAAAATACCAACGTACAAAAGGAGAGTGTGTGCTTACAACTCCCCCACAGAAACAGGCAGTGTCAGCAGACAATGGAAGTTTGATAGATCTCTATTAGTTGAGAACAAAACCAAAGTGAAGGGAGGGAATGAGAGGAGACATATAGACAAGTGCTAAGTTTGCCTCCCCCCAAGTAGAAAAGTGGAGAAGATAATTGATGGACAAGGACTTCAAGGGCAGAGACTCCTCTTGTCCTAACCCTGAATAGTGGTTAGCAGAGTATAGGTAGGCCTAAGTACATGACAGATAAATCAAAGCCCAATAGACTAGATGCTTCTTGAAGGCACCTATCCAGCCACATAATTAGTGACTACTCCATTGTCTGAGTTTTGAGGCTTTCTTCCCATAGACAAGCCAGAGTCCGGCAGTCACATCTGTGCCACGCAATAAATCCAATTGTATGGACTCACTGAAGCTCCTTCAATTGATGATGGCTACAGTGCAACAAGTTGGGCCACAATGAATCTCTCTTCTGGGAACTAGAAAGGATAGTCTCTGCCTGTGGCTGACCTGTGGACACAAACTTTGCAGGTCTGGAGGACTCTTCCTCCCACACCAGGGGAACCAGAAAACAGAGGAAGAATTTCATTTGAGATAAAGATGAAGCATCTGAGGAACAGCCAGAGAGTCCTCTCCTCCATCCCAGTTATGTCGGAATCTTTGGTTTCTACAAGTCATACCCTGATCATTCTATCAATTACTCATAACTAGATATCCATCTGATATAATAAGGGAACCCAGAGAGAACCTATAAATCAGGAAAGCAAGAAAGGTAAAAGAGAAGAGACAAATTGCCTCTCTTATAGCTCACCCTGGGGGTGACAATGTTCTGGATGTCTCTGACACAGGTGCCATTAGATGCCAGCACCTAGACCCAGAGAGGCTGGATCCCAAGAGGAACATTTCCACAGCAATAGCTGGGCTGTTGGTTTGAATGCACCCTGAAATGGTTGGAAGGTGACTGTTAGGGAAGGAGACTCCTGATCTCCTTCTCCTTTCAGAGTTGCTGCCACAGCTAGAGAAGGAACAGAATGTTAAGGAAGAGAGAGAGATAGTAGATAATACCCGACCAAGAGACTAAAAATGAGGCGATGAATGGGTGAAGAGTAGGAATGGAGCAGAGCAGGGATGGCTAGCTATGTATGCAGAGATGCAAGGACTTCAAGGACAAAGAACACTGGATGGACAGGGACACCCACCTGGATGCTGGAGACCTTCAGCAACCCC